TCTTCCTAGTCTTTAGATCCGGAAATCTCAATGGAACAAGGTATGTAATCATTCTTTAATGTTTAAGTTTTCTTTTAATCAGATTCGAGTTTAAATATCCAAAATTATGTTTCCGCGTTTTATGTTTTGGTTATGAAAATAACCAACAATTGGTATCAGAGACTACTTGAATCTGTTATTAGAAACTTGGGTTGGTTTTAGTTCATTTGGTCTTCAAACTAAAACATAAATGCATGATATATGTTATTTTACTCTTCAAGTTGTTGCAGGCGTATTCTTTCTTAACCCCGCCGTATAATATTATGATTTGTGTATGTACTTCGCTTATGCATATGCATGTGCTTCGGATTGATTTATTTTCGAAAAAAAAAAATACATATTATATCAAGAATTACCCCTCTTTGTAAACTTTTGATTCTTTAATTGGGATCTTAACCTATGTATTTTTGTTTATGCTTCTAAAGTGATAACCCAATTTTTAAGGTTTTAACTTCTAAAGTGGTAACCCATTAAAATATTATATAATATATATTGATTTTGTCAAATCATTTTGAGAAGAAAGAAATCATCCCTTATATATATTTTTGGACAGTGACGGCATGTATATTTATTTTATTCTATTTTTTTAAACCTTTATATATGCATGTATCATGTATTAGTTTCTGTGATGTTGAATATTAAAAGTTTAACATTTCGTTGTATTATGTTACAATATATTTGGGTAAAAGATGGCCAAAGTCATTTTTCAATGACATTTTGTTGTATTATGTTACAATATGTTTGGGTAAAAGATGGCTAAGTCATTTTTTAATGACATTTTAAGCGGCAAATTGTCTCAATCTAACCACAATGTTTGGATTTGACAGAATAATTGGGTTAATATTTTTTATTTTTATTTTTGGTGACATCAATTTATGGATGAATTGAATTAAATTGACATGCTAATATTTATGGGCTGTAAATTGATTTGAAGTCGTAAGTTTTATTATTATTTCGGAGACCACATACTCATGCACTTGCTAAAATAAATATATAATTGGCTTTAACCCCTGTGTGTTTATATTATAGCAGCTTTTTTTTTTGAGTTCTACCATATAATATGGTTTATATGTCATTTACTGCTATTATATGTCTACAATTTACTGCTATCATGTGTCTACAATTTAATTATGATAGTGTGTATGCAATTTAATTCAAAGAGCCGTTTTTTTAGCACTGTTAATGATATATGAGTTATTATCATTTTTTTTTTTTGGTTTTTCAATAAATTCAGTTATGACATTATTTATTTATTTGGAAAATTTATTTTCACACTATATGGTCAATGTGATCCCCTTTTTTGAAAATTAATTATCTAAGAATCTAAATATTATTGCAGTTTATGTGTTTATTATTGCGGATTTCAATCGACCCAAAGGTAGGTTGATATTTTTCCGCATAAACACATATATGATAATAAACATGCGACAATTTTTAGGTTACATGTAAGTCAATCCAAGGAATGACTTGTTAGATGACATGATTTATTGGCGATGTTTATTATTAGATGTTATGGTTTATGTGTTAATTAATACGGATATTAATCGACCCAAAGGTAGGTTAATATTTGGACGGATAAACACATGTTTGATATTAAATATGTGACAATTTTTAGGTTACATGTCATTAACAAGTCAATCCAAAGAGGGGCTTATTAATTGACATGATATATTGTCAATTCTTATTATCAAAATTTATAGTTTATGTGTTTATTAATGCGGGTATTAGCCGATCCAAAGGTAGACTGATATTTGGCCGAATAAACATATATGTGGTGATAAACATGTGGTGATTTTTCTTGGTTCCATGTGATTAATAAGTAAATCCAAAGAGGGACTTGTTAATTGACATGATTTATTGTCAATGTTTATCTCTAAAACAAGGATATCTTTTGCATGTTAGTATTACTGTCCAAAGACTTGATATTAATGTTGTGTTGATACCTTGTAACGATGTCATAAATTGAATTTATTGATTACGATTTATGGATTAATGAGCATAAAATAGATTTGCTTATGTTTGAATTATGGTATTATATATGTTAACATTGATCACATTTATGATTCATGTACTTAATGAGATTAACTTTAAGTAATGGAATGAATGCATTATGTTAGTTCTTAATTGCATGGATATTGACCTTGGATTTTGGATATAGCAACATTATTTGAGGATGTTGAGTTTGGGGGAGAAACAAGGCTAAAACATTGTCCTTAAGGAGGAATCAATCTTGATTCCTATTATTGATTTCAATAATATGCAGATTATGAATCAGTGATCGACAATGTTATTCAATCTCCTATTCAGAATACACAAACTCAACAACCTCAACTTTGGATATCCTATGTGTGGTACCACATTTTTCATCAATTTATTATCTCTTTTGGTTTTGAGATAAATACAATAGATGATTTTGTGTATCACAGATTAAGTAGAGTAAATTTATCTTTCTAGTATTGGGCAGATATCTACGAACCTAATTTTGGATCATAAGAAAGTAGCCAAATGGATTTTAAGATATCTATATATAACAAAAGGCTATATGCTTAATCATAGGAAATAAGATGTTTTGGAGATCATTTTTATTATGAATTTGATTTTATTAGATGTCAAAATAGTTACCGATCCATATCGGGATACTTTTACATTTTAGCATGATAAGCCATTTCATGGAATAGACTTCGGTAGCTTCTTCCATAATGGCAACATAATTTATAGCATGGAATATGGTTGCGGAAATTTGTCACTAGGCTACACATTATTGGTATTGAAAGACCACTAAAGTTGTGATAATAAGTCAACAATGTTATATTCCAACAACAGAAGTTCTAATAAGTCAAAATATATTGACATCAAGTTTCCTTCTGTTAATACAATAGTGCAAAATGGAAATATATATAGCACATATGAAGAAACTCCATAAAAGCGGATCCGCTCATAAAGGGATTACCTCCCTAGGTCTTTCATTAGTATACTACACACGTTTGTGTGATATTTGGTTTTAGTGGGAGTTTTATGGTGATGTATGTTTTTGTTTAAGAACAATTATGTTTTTCTGTACAAAATTAAGAATTCGGTTAACTCCATTATTAGTTGCACTTATTTGAAGTTT